GCTGTGACGCGTCACCTGATGTCACACGCGACTCTGCCGGGCGGCTGTTCATGGCCACCACGACCGCGCGCGCTCACGCGGGGGCAGCTGGGAAACCTGCTGCCGCTGAACGGCCACATACTCGAGGGCATCCAAGCTTCGCGCCTTAGTTCTCTGTCTTCAGGATTCACATCATCCAGGCGATGTTCCCCCGGAGGTCACGCCCTCTGGCCGTCCATTCTTTCCCTGCCAGCTCTCCAGTTAATCCACATTTTATTTGAACGCCACATTCAAAATTAGAGAAGAACACCCAGCCAATGCCCAGTACAGCACAAGCATTGCTTTGCCTGTTTTTAAAAACCCAATAATATCATGTTTCCGTTTACATGGTGGGGCACAGCGTTCCCAGCAGGACAGCCCACTGTCCCCACAGTTGGTGGTGCCCCGCTGCCACCCGTCTGCAGCAGAACTGCTAGGCCAGGCAGTTTCCGTCCTGCGGCGGTGAGCTGTGTGGGCCCTGCCTGCAGAGCTCTGCTCTGGTCCCTCTCTGCATTGCTCTCCAGCGCAACTCATCAACATCCCTCTGAATTCTACACCTAATTTTCAACATGTTTACAGGCTGGTATTGCCTGTTCAATTGGTGGGAAAATCCTATGTCTGAAAGAAAATAAATAGTTAAAGGCTCAGGACAAAGCACTGCATTTGCAACATATCTTTTATTTTGCAACTGTATCATGCGAACTACTCACCAAGTACAAGCTTGCATCCTCTAACCAGCAGTGTAAATTATGTCACCCTAGCTTCCCTGTGAGAATTTCCTGAGACGGTATTAAAAGCTTTGCTAGGTGGAGATCTGTAACAGGATAACAGGTCTGTGGGAAGAGGGGAAGAAGCAGATGTCAGAGAAGATTTAACTGGTCTGACATGCTTTGTTCTCAACAAATCCGCATGGCTCCTACAGACTGTCATACTGTCATCTACCTCTTAAGGCCTACAGTGTTTGTTGTTGTTCTAGGGCCTTCACAGTTGCTGAAATTCACATCACCCATCTATAATTTTGCAGGTTCTGCTCCCCTCCCCCCTTCTAAATTGGCTACTTTGAAAGTTATACCTCCTCCATGAGTTCTTAAAGTTAATAAATGAATCCTAACCTGTAAGGCTTGCGGTAATTTTTCTGACAGTGACACGAAGCAGCATCACATTATGTTCCTCTACCATTTATCTCAAAAGTTAGAACAATGTCAGAACCAATCAATCTTATACTAGGCATGAAGAACAAGATCTGAGAAATATACACATTATTTTTATAGAAAAGGACATAAAGTGTTGGATTCCTAATCTGCTGTGAGCAGAAATTGATTTGGAAAATATTAACATTCAACAAATTTGTCTGCCATTCTAAATATAGACTGATGATGACAGCTGTGAAATCTTTATAGTGATTAATAACAATTTTCATTTCCAGCCTTTCTGAGAAAGTATTTTCTGTTTGCTTCATGTAAGACTTTACTGCTTGCATGCCACTGAAAACAACACAATCTTAAAGTGTATATATATATATATATATATAAAAAAAAATATTAGATGAAGACTACTTTGCAGGGACAGACATTTGGAAGATAGTAATTGCCAGATGAATTATTGCCCTTCAACATAAATTTTTAACCTTTCGGCCTCAAATTTAGAAATAAGGCAATGATTCTGTAGAAAAAGCTTGTAACAGAACACTTAAAATGTTTATGCATAGACAACTAAGGAATCTGTATTTTCTAGCAGTCTCAGAGCTTACCTTTCCAACCAAAATGAGTTTGGTGAGTTGGCATTACTAACACGTGCTTCTTTTTTGGTTTTTTTTTTCCCCTCTAATGGAACACTAAAAATCACAATAATACATTGCTTTGGTTAAGTAAAGACTTAACCAAATGGGAAAATTAATATCAGATAAAAGCAATATCCATTGCAAACCTAGAGATGACCCTTATTCTATGCCAAGAGCAAAAATAATACATGTAGGAGCTACTGCTAGATTGAAAACTCAAATGCAGGTATGCGAATATACCAAATCTTTACCTTTTGCTCTATACTCCTTCTTACAGATCATACAAAAGAAGGCAGCACTGGAACAGAGTAAGTCTTTTCTTCTAATTTCTGCCTGTTTGTTCTTTTCTAGTATGAAAGTATAACTTGCATTAGTCAGAATTTTTTTCAAAATATAAACATGTGTCTCACAAACATAAATAAAAGATCATTCAAACCTGCATTTAAACAAGAGGAATCTGTTCTATTATTAGGAATTGAATCTGGCTGATAGCTACCTTGGAAACAGCTGTGGTAAAACACGTACTTCTGGTAAGCAAGTTAGCTTAAAAAATGCATACAGTTTAACAGCTGCAATTCTGTTTTACAAGGTCAATTTATAGCATAGGTCATACCTTTTCTTAGACTAGGTAAAGCCTAAAGATACTAACACACTTAAACATAAACTGAGTAACAGTGAACAGGGAGTTAGCATTTCTTAAGCGATAAAAATAAATACACGAAAAAAAGAAACATGAATGCCTAGGATAGCCTTAACAGTGGTTGGGAGAATGACCTTTAAGAAGACATGTACATCATCTGTGACAAATATGTTGGTTGTTGTTTTTTTTTTTTTAAGAGAGACAAAAACATTACAGAAAAATCAACTGTATAATAATACACACAACTGCCAATGTAACAACTTCAGTAGAGATTACTAATCCCCACTTACCGATCAAAAAGGACAATTTTTCACTAAAGTTTGCCAACAAGAAGTCATTGTATTATAGTGATATTCACAGACAATGTGTGTCTCAAAAAAAAAAAAAGTGTTTTCCTAGGATTTATATAAGATGACCTGGGTAATTATAGGTGTGGAGGCCTGACAAATAGTAAATTGTTGACACTAAATGTGGTTAGCTAAGAATTAAGAAAGGTTATAATGGAAAGATATATAATTAATGCAAATTATAAGTTTGGGTGAGACTTCTTCAAGATTTAGTAACACCTGTTTTGATCATCAACATGCTACAGAGTCTATAACCTGTACTGAACATGTGGAGAGTTTAATATTCATAGTAACAGGATAATTATTTCACTGTTTAAAAATGAAAGATACGATGAAGTAACTACCTTCTTGTTAAAAAATTAAGGGCTCAGTGCATATATAACATGACTAAAACCAGAATTGGTTTCAACTAATCAGGGAAAATACACAGAATAAAGGATCTCTTTTTTCTACATGCATGCCAGAACACTGTCCAACACAAACGGGAGCACTTTTACATCTTTTTATATTTATAGTCATTATAATAAAAAATTAACACCACATGGAGGGGGGTGTATGCATTTGTGTCATTAGTTGAGAGTAAAACTAATAATTTTCTATATGCTTACCTATTTTCAGTTAAGGCATGCAGCTGGATGACAGCCTTTACAGCTTTTAAAAAAGAAAATAAACAAATAGAAAAATTTGAAACATACAGAATTGACAGGACCCATCGAAGTCACCAGGAAATGTCTCCTTGATTTCTCATTATCTTTTGACTTTAATATTGTAAAATGTTATTCATTCAGTATTTTTATACTAAAAGCATTCAACAGGCCTTTTTTTTTTTTATAAGCTATGCTTTTTTCAGCCTGAGACCAGTTTGCTACAAAGCCCTTTTATATAAAATTACAATTTGAATTTAATCTGGAATTTTAGCTAGGTGGAAAAATATGCTTCCATTAGTAGCATATCAAGACTGTACTTACAGTTTTACAGTTGCTGCCTCTCTTTATATTCAAGAGGAATATAAAATACTGGTTTTATTCTAAATTATTTGTAACCCGTCTTGGGGATCATTTCCCCTGCACTGTACAGTTATGTCACATATCCTAAAGAGGGATCTCCACACTGCTACTCCATTTCTTCATGGGATTTTTTGAATAATTTCCACACTCTAAATAATACAAAAATTCATTGGATTGTTTGGACAACACCTGTTTTTCCACTGGGGCAGAGGAAGAAGGCAGGACTGAAAGCACCAATTGTCTACGAGCAATTAACATTTAATGGGGAAGAAATCTTATTTACTGGATTAAACTGAGAAAGTAATTTTATGGAAAGTCCTCTTTTGCTGATGGTGTTGTATTAAAAATATCTTTAAAACACGGAAAAGATATCCAAAATAGTGGATAAGTGTAATTTTGGCTACTATATACTAAACCAAAGAGGGGTTAAATTATAAAACCACAATCTGCTCTGAATAAACATCAGTGCCATTGAATAGCCACTAAAAATTATTATAATGTATAAATTAGGGGTAAAGTACAGTAGGCTGACCTCTGTTGCACACCTCTGCTGCAATAGTTATGTTAGAGCATGAGGAGGTGTGATCTTTCATCACCACAGCTACAAGCAGCAGAGGCTTGCTTTAGATGCAACTATTAGCAGACCACCAGTTTTGTTAGCGCAGTCTGCTTGGATTTTCCCAGGACTGGCTCTGTGTATATCCTAGGCAAGATCTATAGGGAAAGACAGGCTTTATCAGAGCAACTATACATCAGGCCAGCATTAGCTAAATATATACATTTGGCTACTTTAGGCTAGCAAACTGTCAGGACCTGAAAAAGGAATAAACTGCCTGAAATTCTGTATACTTTTACAGCTTTCACTCCTCCATGATAACTGATACAACATGCCTACAACTTGTGTTAACAATAAAGGCAGAATCACTTCTACTATACATCAAATTTAAGAAAACTACTCCAATTCACAACCTCTTAATCTCCCAGTGTACTTTCTGCCAGACACAATGGTACCACCCTCTCTGATGCACTGGTAATGGGGTGGAACTAAGATTTAAGATCTCACCATTTCACAGAATCACCGAATCATCTAGGTTGGAAAAAACCTTGAAGACCATCTAATCCAACTATTAACCTAACACTGACAGTTCCCAACTACACCATATCCCTCAGCGCTGTCGACCCTACTCTTAAACACCCCCAGGGATGGGGACTCCACCACCTCCCTGGGCAGCACATTCCAATGCCTAACAACCCCTTCTGTAAAGAAATGCTTCCTAATATCTAGTCTAAACCTTCCTTGGTGCAACTTGAGGCCATAACCTCTTGTCCTATCGCTTATTACTTGGTTAAAGAGGCTCATTCCCAGCTCTCTGCAACCTCCTTTCAGGGAGCTGTAGAGGGCGATGAGGTCTCCCCTCAGCCTCCTCTTCTCCAGACTAAACACCCCCAGTTCCCTCAGCTGCTCCTCATACTACATGTGCTCCAGACCCTGCAACAGCTTTGTTGCCCATTTATCCTGGCCTCTTTCCCTCTGGCCTCGTCTTGACTTTTACATACACATTTTACATAGGAAATGGAAAAAAACCCAGACTGCCTCAAACTAGAATCCCATGAGGACAAAGATATCCTTCATTTTCACGGGAGTTAACATATTGTGTCAAAACTAGGCTCCCACACAGTTCTAAATCCAACCAGTTAATTTAGGTGAAAACTACCAACTGCCTTGCTCCAACCAGGATTGGTTAACTTGAGAGACAGTTTTGTGACTAAACTGAGGCCAGAAGCGTGGGTGTACTTGATGTAGACACGAATGTTTTAAACCGGGTAGCTCAGGTAAGAGCGTCTCTATAGCAGCACAGACCTCAGTGGAAACCAGCAGCTGCATGTCTACCCAAATTCCCTGACAGATTTTGTTGACCATATGGAGCAGCGTGCTGCCACTTCTAACAGCTAATTTGACCAAAGCTGACTAAAGCTACTTCTGATACATCTTCAGTCCCCTCTCTGTGTGCAGAAATAACCTTAGCTAACTTGTCAGGTCACATTTTTCTACCTTTTGATTACAGGGTTCGGGTTCGGTGAACTTTCAGCTGTGAGATACCAGCTGTAATAGAAGGCAAGCAGTGGGAAAGCTAAAATCAGGCATTAAATATAGCACATTAAGTTCTTTTCTTTCTCTTTTTTTAAGCTTTGAGAAATAAGACATAGGAAAATAGAAGCATCTAAAGAAAGCACATTACTAGAACTGCAAACAGTAGTTTTTTTGGGGGTGTTTTATTTGGTTTTTGGTTTGGTTTTTTTTTTTTTTTTTTTTTTTTT